TGAGATGAAATCTCAGTGTAGTTTTGATTTGCATTTCTCTAATTGCTCATGATGCTGAACATTTTTTCGTATGCTTACAGGCCATTTGTATTTTTTCTTTTGAGAACTGGCTGTTTCATTAGTTTGCCCATTTATTAATTGGGTTATTTGATTTTTTGGTGTAAAGTTTTAAAAATTTCTTTAAATATCCTAGCTATTAATTCTTTTTTTTTTTTTTAAGAGAGAGAGAGAGATTGAGAGAGAGAGGATTTTAATATTTTTATTTTTTTTTAGCTTTCGGCAGACACAACATCTTTGTTTGTATGTGGTGCTGAGGATCAAATCCGGGCCACAAGCATGCCAGGTGAGCGCGCTACCACTTGAGCCATGCCCTATTAATTCTCTATCAGAAGAGTAGCTGGCAAAGATTTTGGAGAAAATTTTCTTGCAACATTTTAAAATTTGTCAGATTGGTATTTTGAAACAAGCATTTGACACATCTGGCTAATTTTTGACAGTACATAACTTTTTCTTTCTTTCTTTCTTTTTTTAGTATACAACTCTTACTAAAAAAATTTTGAGCCTTGATCCTTGAAACATTTTTTTCTTTAATTATTTTTTATTTATATATGACAGTGGAATGCATTACAATTCTTATTACACATATAGAGCACAATTTTTCATATCTCTGGTTATATAAAAAGTATATTTATTCACACCGATTTGTGTCTTCATACATGTATTTTTTTAATACCTTTATTGATTTATTTTTATGTGGTGCTGAGGATGGAACCCAGCACCTCACATGTGCTAGGGAAGCGCTCTATCGCTGAGCCCCAGCCCCAGCCCGCATACATGTACTTTGGATAATAATATCCATCACATTTTTTCTAACATTAAAACATGCATCACTRAAGTAATACTAGTTAATATGTAATTTTTTTTTTTTTCCAGTGCTGAGGATTGAACCCAGGGTCTTGCACAAGCTAGGCAAGTGTTCTACCACTGAGCTATATTATATCCCTGGTCCATGAGTTGTGTATATTATAAAATTAGACATTTTAAAAGAATGAAATTAAAAAATGTGAAATTTTAGTATTTTCTTTTGTATTCCAGTGGATCTTCTTATAACTCTTTGGTGATGACTGGCCTAGAAGATGACCTTGGGAGACCAGTATTCTTTTTTTTTGGGTACCAGGTATTGAACCCAAACACACTTAACCACTGAGCCACATCCCCAGCCCTTTTTAATATTTTATTTAGAGACAGGGTCTCACTGTTGGTTAAGGCCTTGCTAAGTTGCTGAGGCTAGCTTTGAACTTGAGATCCTCCTGCTTTAGCCTCCTGAGCCACGGGATTACAGACGTGTACCAATGCACCTGGCTYAGTATCTTAATATGCCTCAATGCTTTGTTCTTTACAAGGAATTTTCTTCTGCATGTAGGTATGCACATTTCTATTAGGTTACAAGAACTTATTAGATTTCTAAAGGGGTCACAGACATCGGTTATGTAGTTCCAAAGTTATATGCTTGTAGGCAGTGAACTACTGGCTATACAAATGGCTTAATCTCAAATTTTTAGAGCTCAATGTATACATATATAAAAACTAATAATAGTGCTTATTATAAATGTTGACAATGTACCAGATACTGAGTGTTCTGAATATGTGAATTAATTTAATCTTCACAATAACACAGATGTTGAGGGCCACAGCCAAGTTGGGATGAAGCATGGCATTTTTGCCAGAACCAGTGGTTGAGAGGTGATGCCAGCAAGCCATTGAGATGATGATGGTTATGTTAAGCTGTGTATTCAATTGTATATTAGACCCCTGCTGTCTGCCTGCCCCCCCCCCCACTTTGGAGTTCTCGAGGGGATCTGAGTTGGTTGGGGAAGTGCTGGAGGAGGTTGGTTAGAGCTTGGTGCTGATAACGCCAAGGTCACGGGTTCCATCCATATGGGCCACCAAATGCCGCAGTCTGGCTGGGCACAAATCACGAGCCACTCAAGCAGGAACAAACTTTATTTCTGAACTCCCTCGAATGCCACACATGCGGCCTTCTCCCCGGACACACCACACATCAACGGGAAATCCCTCCTCTGGCACTTCCCCAACTAACTCGAACTCCCCAGGAATCCCCTGGAGAGGAGAACTTGGGAGAACTCCAAAGTAGCAGGCCTAGGTGGACAGCAGGGGTCTAATATACAATTGAATACACAGCTTAACATAACCATCATCATCTCAATGGCTTGCTGGCATCACCTCTCAACCAYTCTTCTGGCAAAAATGCCATGCGTCATCCCAACTGGGCTGTGGCCCTCAACACAGGTAAGAAAACTGAGAAACATAGAAATTAAGCAATTTACTGAGGGTGTGTACACCAAGTAAGTGAAGAATTGGAGGGATTCTGGCTCCAGAGGCCATGTTCTTAGCCACTTAGAAATGTTACATAGCTTCTTTTAGGATTTCTCTATCAATTAAGAATGAAGGAAAGAAAATGAGGAAGAGTGGGAAATATACAGAATACCAAATGCCCATAAACCAGATTATGGGTTTTGAAATTTTTTGCAGTGCTGGGAACTGAAGGCAGGGCCTTATGCATACTAGGCCAGTCTTATAGGCTTATTTTTTAAAGGAATGATGAAGTAACTCATAGGAATTACAGAAATTCTCATGAGTTAGGTAAGGGGAAAGACATTTACTTTTCTGTGGGACTAAAATATAAAAGTACTCATTATTTACAACATCCTCTTAATACTCAAATTAGTTTTATTCTCTATTTAATTAGCAACTGTCATCACATCACTAACTTGGTATGAATTTGAATAATCCAGAGAAAAGTGGTTATCTATGAATATTAAAACTTCCTTAAAAACTAAGTAACACTCCTGATAGTGTGGGATGTTCCAATGTCCATGTGACTAATTTCTTTGTAAAATTCAAATACAACAGGTAATTCTTTTTTGAGTACAAAAATATCTTATTTTCCTTAAATAACTATACAGGCTAAAAGTAATTTACTTAGCTAGTTACTATATGTATATGGAATGAGTAATTTTAATAAGTATTAAGGGTTTTTAATAAAGAAATTCAGAAATTTTTTAAAAAAGGAAATGTTAACATACATTTATGTTTTAACTAAAAAAATAATTCCTGAGAAGACTCATATGTATATAAAGCAAGGTTACCTCTAGATTCAACAGAATCCCCAGATTTGACCTTAACAGCAGTGATGTCACTGCAAGAGCTGTCTTGATCATCATCTTCGGTTTCTCCTAAAGAGAATAACGTATTAGTATAGTATTTATTCTAAAGCTTATAAGGTCTGCATTAAAAAAACAAACAATTCAACAATAAAATGAAGGCTTTTAAATTTCAGATATGGAATTTTCATTTATTATGCTTACTATTTTGAATCACAAACTTCCAAGTGAGTTCCACTTGTTTGGTGTTCTTTAAGTTACATAAGTACTTCCTAAACAAACAAACATTCAGCTTACTAGCTAAAAGAGTATACTCTGTATACTCTTTTAGCTAATGTAGAGTAAAAAATTAACAGCTAGGCTTGATGGTGCACACTTGTAGTTACACTAATGGGAAAAGATGAGGAAGGAGGATTGTAAGTYCAAGCCCAGCCTGGACAACTTAGTGAGATTCTACCTCAAAATAAAATTTTTTTAAAAAAGGGGGCTGGGGATGTAGCTCAGTGGTAGTGGCACCTCTGGCATCAATCCTCAGTACCACAAACACCCACACACAAAAATAAAAAACAGATGAGTATTAAATAATGGAAAAAATTTATTTTAGGGAGGGAAAACTACATACATATAGTTAACATGTAATTAAAGTCAAACACAATTACTGTACAGATGTGTATTTATTTGTAAGTATGTGTTTAAGGGATAATGTACACACACCTATACACAAACCTTTCAGTATACAGGTGACTAATTTCAGATTATGTGGCTTAAAAATGAACAAAATTTTATATATGTACTTTTAAAACACTGACTAGTTATGAGAATTTGGAAAAGTGATTATTTTAATACCATAATCAAAGGCCAACACATGCCAGAAATGGAAAATATTATTTCTGTTTAAAATTAACTCAAAAGATAAAAAGATGCTTAACATATACATAAGGGGCTGGAGGTATAGCTCAGAAGCAGAGCACCTAGGTTTTATCCTTAGTACTGCAATTAAAAAAAACAAATGACGGGAGGCTGAGGCAGGAGGATCAAGAGTTCAAAGCCAGAAACAGCAAGGTACTAAGCAACTCAGTGAGACCCTGTCTCTAAATAAAATACAAAATAGGGCTGGGCATATGGCTCAGTGGTTGAGTGCCCTGAGTTCAATCCCCAGTACCTCAAAAAAACAAACAAACAAAAATATTTAGGGTTCTCATCATTCATTCTATCCCATTATATTCTGGTTTAACAGTTTAGATATGTATTATTTTTTTTTCCAGAAGAAAAAGACACTATTTTCTGTTCTTACCTCTTACATATTTATTAAAATTGCTTCTAATGTGAAGAAAAAGTCTTAAGATTATTTTGCATGATATTTAAAAAGAGAATACCTTCTTCTTCGGAAAAATTGACCTTCTGTAAGACACTGGCCGCTTCTAGAAAAGAAAAGCATATATATATATATAGCTTCAAAAGCTATTGCTTAGGAATTAATAAGAGCATACAGTTTTTTTTTTTTTTTCTTGGTACTGAGGATTGAACTCAGGGGCACTCGGCTACATTCCCAGCACTTTTTTGTATTTTAGTGCCTTGCTTTTGCTGAGGCTGGCTGTAAACTTGCGCTCCTCCTGCCTCAACTTCCTGAACTGCTGGGATTACCGGAATGTGCCACCACTCGTGGCAACAGCATATAATTTGGGAAAATTAACATCAAAAACAAAATAAATATTTTTTTCTGTTAAATCACAAAGAATCTACCATTTCCATCTAGCTATTTTAGAAATGAGTCTGATACAGATTAGAATCAGAAATAAAGTATTTATTTTCTCCTCAGTTATAGGTCTATTTGTCAACTAAAATATAACTTTGGTGTGCAGGAAACATTAAATTCTACATTGACAAATATTTTAGTCTCTATAGGTTTATGCATTCTCATTCTCCTATTTGCTAGATTTCCTAAGTCCCTTGAGAAGTCTCCCTTTCCACCACTCCAGCTGAACTGACAAGCCAAGTCTTTAGCGCACTGGTGTATCCAAAAAGGAAGAAAGAAAGGTTAAAAACCCTTTCTCTCGTTCCAGCAAGGCCATGTATATCCCTGTTTCTTAGAGAAAAAGGGAATTCAAATAAAAACAGATGAACAAAACTTATGATACTTTAAAGACAGTATTTTTACATAGGCTACTCTGATTTTTTTTAAATAAAGGGAAATCTACCCAAATGGATGCATTATATATGATTAGCCTAAAATACTGAAAAGACCCAAATAGAGAAGTAGCAGTGTGATTCAAACTTCAACAAAGCTAGAGAATATTTCTTTTCAGTGTTTTTCTTTACTGGCTTTAACCTGTTTTCTTTCTTTTTAAAGAGCATAAAAGTTGTCACTATCAAACCTAAACAAGATGGAGCCAGGAGGCCATTAAGGAAGGTCCTTCAYGCATGTATGCTTAAGATAAGAACTATATTATAATCAGTCTCTTACACCACAAAAATTCCAGTGTAGTCACTTCCATAAAGACATCTCTCTAGCAACAGTCAGAGTTACCAACGAGTGAGTAATCACCAACTCCTGCAACAGTTCTMGTAGCCAAGGCTTATTTCAAAGCAGCTCACATGGACTTCTCACATCTTTAAAATTTTCCTCATGCCCCAGCCCCCTTTAGTTATACTCATGGTCTGCCATACAGCGCACATCCTGGACTACAATTCCTTGTGATTTTCAAATAAACTCTGTTTTGGAGAGTTGTTCTCTCTTGCCCATTTTAGGTTGATGAGGGAAAATATGAGTGTGGAAAGCAACTGCCAATGCATTATATGGTGAATTTGGGAAAAAATTTTCACATCAATTTAATTGTTTTTCTTTGTCATTAGATCATGTACTCTTTAGCAGAAAACTTTCTTGGCTCTTTATGGTCCAAGCATTCAGGTAAGTACCTGACACACGGAAGSTAGTTAAAAAGAAATATTTATTCAATAAGTGAATAGATTTTATGATAACAAAATTTAACATTTTTTCCCTTTCGTGGTACTAAGGATGGAACCCAGAGTCTTGCACATGCTGGATGAGTGCTTTACCACTGACCTACATCTCAAGCCCCAAATAAAACTTTTAAATTAAGACTTTTGCCAATATATCTCTGATAATGATAAATAACACTAATTAGCAACTTAAGAAAAATAACCTGAAATTGGTTCTCAATAATTTGATTTCATGCAAGTTTTAAAACATTCAATCTATTTCCATATTTTTAAAGTGATCTACAAACAATGTACAGATAAATATATCTGATAATTTATCAGTAGCWTCTATTGACTTTCTACATTTTAATTTCATTTCCCTATTTTGTTTTTCAGCTTCCTTTAATTTCAAGTTGGTTGCTACATGCAGAAGGTTAAAGCATTAAWAAGGCGTCATTTTCTAAAAGGTGTGAAGGAGGCACATGCCTGAAATCCAGCAACTCAAGGCCAGCCTCAGCAATTTAGTGAGACCTTTAAGAATTCATACTCGGGGTCTCAAAATTTTTTTTTGAAATTTTTAATATTTATTTTTTAGTTATCGGCGGACACAACATCTTTGTTTGTATGTGGTGCTGAGGATCGAACCCAAGCCACACGCATGCCAGGCGAGCGACCTACCGCTTGAGCCATATCCCCAGGCCCCAGTGTCTCAAAAAAAAAAAAAAAAAAAAAACAACAAAAAAAAAAAACAGAAAAAGGACTGAGGATGGCTCAGGGGTAAAGCACTCCTGTGTATAAATAAAGAAGTTAAAAATTATAATAATAAAAGGCAGTAGTTGAGTGGTAAAGCTGGGTTAAATCCTCAGTACAAAAAAAATTAAAAATTTGGAAGTAGGTATTATTCTTTCTTATGTTCATATAGAAGCTGTGAGAAGCTAAAATTCTATTTGAAGCAAAAATATAATGTCCCTAATAAAAAATTAAGAGAAATTATAAAGGTTGTGGATTTAACAAATAGACAAATGATAGTAAACTACACTGTGAATAGGTGTGACCTTCTTATCATCATCAACGGATTAGGAAAAGCTACTTTCAGAAGTCCTAGGTCTTGGTTTAGGAACATATCACTTATAATCATCTCTTGTGGAGACCATCCACTAAATGCACCACTTTCTTTTGCTTAGCCAGATTCTTTAAAGGAATACAAATTCCAGGTATATCTCAGTTTGTCAGACTCATAAAAGTACCCAAGGATGAAAGCCCAGGTTCCCAAAGCATCTACATTTCTAACATTTCTTTCTTTCTTTCTTTTTAAATTGGTATTGGGGATTTAACCCAGGGCTGCTTTACCACTGAGTTAAAAATCACAGTCTTTTTTTTTTTTTTTTTTTTTGAGAAAGGGCCTCACTATGTTGCAGAGGCTGGCCTCAAACTTGGAATCCTCCTGCTTTAGCATCCCAAGAGTCACTGTGATTAGAGACATGTCCCACCACATCTTCCGATTCCTAGAGACTTATGAGATGTGCTTGGTGTGGAGAACACCGGGTACTCAAGAAAACATAAACTTTATTTATTCTATGTTCTGAAAAAAACATAAATTTTATTTACTCTATGTTTTATCTGGGGACAAAGATACGAAAATATAATAAATGTAACAGCAATTCTTTTTCAAAGGAAGACTAGATAGAACACAGGAGTCATTGTCTTCTTTGTTCCTGCGCAATCAGTACAACCTAGTAAAGAGTGTTGTAATAAAGATATATTCAGGAAAATAGAAAGTCCTGAATTTACTCTTAGAATAAATAAAATGGCAACTTGGGTGATTTAATGTCTTTGTTACCATCATCAGTATAAATCAGGAATCAGCAATTTTTTTGGGGGGCGGGGAGTACCGGGGATGAAGCTCAAGGGCACTTAACCACTGAGCCACATCCCCAGCCCTATTTTGTATTTTATTTAGAGATAGGGTCTCACTGAGTTGCTCAGCACCTTGCTTTTGCTGAGGCTGGCTTTGAACTCACGATCCTCCTGCCGCAGCCTCCTGAACTGCTGGGATTACAGGCATGTACTATGGCACCTGGACAAATTTTTTCCATAAAGAGCCACACAGTGGACTGGGGTTGTGGCTTAGTGGCAGAGCACTGGCTAGCATGTGTGAAGTACTGGGTTTAATTCTCAGCACCACATTAAAATAAAGGTCTATTGACAACTAAAAAAAGAAAAAAGGGCCACACAGTAAATAGTTTAGACTTTTTGAAGCACATAAAGGCTCTGTCACATGTTTTTTGTGCACATGTAAAATTGTCTCACTACATTGCTCAGGCTGATCTTGATCTTGAACTCTTGGACTCAAGCAGTTCACCTGACTCAGCCTCACAAGTAGCTGGGATTATAGGCATGAGCCTACACACCTAACTTTGAAAGTACTTTTAAAGTTAAGTTTCTATTATRAAATGATTTCTAAGTCTAGCATGCAAAGTAAGAATGTTAGGTTATTTCAGCTCCAAGTTCTTTTCCAATTAAGAATCTATAGCTTAAAAAACTGCTTTTTAGGGTTGGGGCTGTAGCTCAATGGTAAAGTGCTTGCCTTGAACGTATAAGGCACTGGGTTCAATCCTCAGATCCACATAAAAATAAATAAAGATACTGTGTGTTCATCTACAACTAAATAAATATTTAAAAAACAAAACAAAAAAACCACGCTTTTTAACATTTTGAGACAAAACTTGAGAAACTCTGGTGGGAAAAATATATAAAACACGCTGCATACTACAAGGATCATTTTCAGTACCCAAATACTATAAGTCCCTAAGTCTCTAACGAAATCATCAGCCTGAGCTTAAGTGAAAAATGAATTTAATATAGAGGAAGTTGCAACTATAGCAACCACATATTACTTAAGAAAAATAAAAGTTCCTTTTTTTTGCCTTAAAACTAAGTCTAATTATATTCAATGTAGGTTCACTTAAAGCCACAGATTCTGGAATCTCATGTCCTATATGAAGGCAAAAAAAAAAAAAAAAMGAATTTAAGATAGTTCAACAAACATGGGAAAGAACACTGAACTTTTAATGAAAAACATTTCAAACTTACTTCCTACATCAAGAGAAAAACTATAATAGGTAAGTTGATATATTCTTTTTTGTCAACAGTATGAATTTAGCAAAGGCTAATAAAAACTATTTTGATTTGCTATTTTATGCTCTCATATAAATTTAAAAAATAAAAGATTCGATTTCAGATAGAATGAAAATCAAGACTACTACAGCAGGTCAATGCCACAGGACAGTGTACCACAAGCAGAGATAATGAACAAAGTAATATTCTCAAGCGACTAATAAAATATATGTTCTCTTATATTCTGACAAATACAATTTATAAGAATTAGAGAAACACTAACCTACTTCACTCATTTTAGTATTTCCATTGGTTTTGTAAGTTGAATCTGCAAGACAGAGAGTAAGAAAATGATTAGAGCTGTAAAGGAAATGCATCATATGGTTTTTTACCACAGGCTCAAACCTTGACAGATCTTTATCATTCTGACCCTAAAAGAATAACGAATTATTATACAAAACAAAAATCATGATTTTTCTCTTAAAGGGATAAGGAGCAATAGAAAGCTAAGATTAACAAGTTTCCTTTTGTTCCTTGATACAGCATCCTTCACCATCAATAAACACAGAAAACAAAATAGATGTGTGRAGTGATCTAACTGGTTTTCTTTCACTGTCATGAAATCCATTTAAGGGCAATACTTTTTAAGGTTTTAGTCAAAAAGAAATGTAATTGAGATGGAGAAATTTTATAGCCCATATCACAAAATCTCAGTCTTGAATTTTTTATTAGCAGTATATTGGGAAGGATAGAAAGTTCTTGACTCAATTTAAAAGCATCATGTTAGCACAAAAGAACCATAGCCATGTATAAGAAAAATTTCTTTAAAAAGATCAGGGAAAGACAGGTGTGGTGGTGCACCCTGTAATTCCAGCAACTTGAGAGGCTGAGGCAAGAGGATTACAAGTTCAAGGCCAGCCTTGGCAACTTAGTAAGGCCCTAAGCAACTTAGTGAGACCCTGTCTCAAAATTTAAAAAAAAAAAGGGCTTGGGATGTAAGTCAGTGGTAGAGCACTTCCTTAGCATGTGCAAGGACCCGGGTTCAATCCCTAGCATGGTGAAAAATAAAATAAAAAGGACTGAGGATGTAGCTCAATAGTAAAGCACCCCTGGATTCAATTCTAAGTACTAAAAAAAACAAAAACAACAAATCAAAAACCAGGAACTTTTTTATATACCAATATGGAAAGATATCTCAATACAYGTGAAATAAAACTAAAAGCAAACAACAAGAAGGTGCAAAGTACTATTTATTGGGTCAAAATTTTGTGTTTGGAAAAGGAGAGAAAATATATATATGAATTTCCTTAACCCTCCCCCCAAAATCTTTGGAAAATAYATAAGAAACTGACATTGGTTGGCTAATGAAACTGGGTGTTTAAAGGACAGCAGAAAATGAAAAGTCTCCCTGTATCTATCTATAGTAACATCTGAGTTCTTAACCTTATGAATATATGCAGTATTCAAAAAACAAAACTGTATTTATAAAAAATCTTAAACCAACAGACAAAATGATCTCTTACCAGATCTTGGGCTTCTTAGAGGGGGTCTACATAGGCTAATCACAGGATCTTCACTTGCCACTGCTACAGGAAGAGAAACAGTTAAAAAATATAAAAATGTGGAACATAGTTGATTTATTATGCAATCATCCCTTTATTTAGTTAACAAAGATTTATAAACCTTTTCATCATGCTAAAAAACTAAAAACAAGTTTTCTCTAAGTGACAAACTCTTGTGAACTAGTAACCATAGTGAACTAGAGATGTTTCTTGCCATATAAAATTCTTTGTCTTGGAGAATTTTGCCATTTTTCTCAGGAAAAATGGAAAGGAATACTAAATAAAACTTCTAAATTGCTTAATTAAGAACCAAAATCTGTACTTTAGCACCAACTAAATTATCTATTCCATTCATAACTTACCTTACTGTGGATTATTGATGATACATTTTCATCTTACAGTTGATTTAATAATCTACTCCAGCCAATATAATCCTGGGTATGTTCAGGAAATGCAAAGTCTACTTTTAAATAAGATGTCACTGTTAGACATAGTTCATGTCAGTCTATGGGTTTAATGACGCAGGATTTCGGGGAAGTTAGTTCCATTAAACAACATGCTAATTTCGTCTAGAAAGCTACACATAAAGTACGCTTTCTCAGAGGGCCCCATACAGTATAATATAAAACCCAATATATATATCCTAAATTTGGATTATGTTGTTTTGTTTCAATCATTTCTATAAAAAAAGCATGGTTTTGGTTCTGTTTGAAAGCTGCAAAAATAGACAGGCATAGTGCTGCATGCTTGTAATCCTAGTGACTTGGGAGGCAGAGGCAGAAGGATGGTTCAAGACCAGCCTGGGCAACTCAGCAAGATCCTGTCTCAACATAAAATTTAAAAAGGGCTTGAGGCTGGGTTGTGGCTCAGTGGTACAGCACCTGCCTTGCACGTGTGAGGCACTGGGTTCGATCCTTAGCACTACATACAAACAAATATTTAAGATATTGTGTCCATCTACAATTTAAAAAATATTTTTTTAAAAAAAGGGCTTGGGATGTAGCTCTGAGTTACAGCACTTGCCTAACATGCTGTGGCCCCAGGTTTAGTTCTCAGTATGAAAAGAGAAAAACTGGAGAAAACACATTCTGGAACTCTGATGATCCCCCTAAATCTTTCAATTCTAAGATTCTATGAAATAGCTATTTGGTTGTTAGCATTTCACATATCAGGCATTTAGAAAACACACACTAGCACACATATATGATAATATACACTAAAAGTAAACCTTGTACATATGTTGATAAAGGGGCAAATTTTACTTACTAATTACTCCCAATATTACAAATACCTTTTGTATTTGTACTTTTTTGTACCAACTTTTTTGGTTTAATTCAAACCTAAAACTCAAAATCCATTTGTTGTTGAGCTGTTAACAAAATCTACAGACGTCAATTACTATCTTTAGTTCCCATCTATTCATTTAAGAAGCTTTTCCTGTGTGTTCTACTAYATACACAGCCCTTGGTAACATATTTGAAGGAGACAGAGTACCAGAGAGAGGTATAAAAAAAAATAAAATAGCAAATACCCTTCTTTGGGTAGAAGTCTCCTTCCCTTGTCTGCTTGCTCATCACTACACCCTCAGCCTCAAGTGCGGGAACTGGCATAAAGCAGGTGCTCAACATTTTACAAACATCTCTTATAAACTACCATGAGAGGCGGCGGGGAAAAAGCCTTATCATTTGTATGTTCTATAGTGTACAAAGTGATTTCACATGGACTCTTTTTTCCAGTGGTCCTGTGAGTTACACAGGGCAAGTAATACAGCTGTAAAAGCCTGAGGCTTAAGGTAGGTGGGTAAAGCATAAAGGTGTGTTTATCTGAAACTGAACTACAACCAGACATACTTTATTCTAAATTGAGAATAGAATAGTTCAAATTATAAAGAATAATTGTAATAGAAGTAACAGATAAATAAATCAGGATTTGGGCAATAAAAACCAGGGATGGCRTGGGGGTGCACACCTATAATCCCAGAGACGCAGGAGGCTGAGGCAGAAGGATTGAAAGTTTCCTGAAAGCCTCWGCAACTTAGTAAGATTCTAAGCAACTTAGTGAACCTGTGTCTCAAAATAAAAAAGGGTGTAGCTCAGTGGTAAAACACCCCTTGGTTCAATCACTAGTATTAAAAACAACAACAACCACAACCACCACAACAACAACAAAACCCAGGGATGATCAGTTTCAATAGGTCTTATGAAATTTTCTTGTTATCAAGAAAAGCAAACTGAAAATAAATGAAAAAACTGAGGCATTAATAAACTAAATTGAACCTGGGTCTGAATTTTGGCTGTTAGACATCACACGAAGAATCTTAGATGCTTTGAGCTTCAGTTTTCTCATCTATAAAACATGTATAGTTAAGTGCATAACTGTAATCACAGCTACTTGTAAGGCTGAGGAAGGAGGATGGAAAATTTGAGGCCAGCCTGGGCAACTTAACAAGATCCTGCCTCAAAAATAAAGTAAAAATGGCTGGGAGTGTAGTGTAGCTCAGTGGGAGAGCATTTGCCTAACATGCTCAAGGTCCTGGGTTTAATCACCAGTACCAGCAAACAAAAGGGTATAATATCTATCCTGCAAGGTTTTAAGAATTAGTATAGGGCTGGGGATGTGGCTCAAGTGGTAGCACGCTTGCCTGGCATGCGCGGGGTGCTGGGTTCGATCCTTAGAACCACACAAAAATAAAGATGTTGTGTCCACCGAAAACTAAAAAATAAATATTAAAAAAATCCCCTCTCTCTCTCTCTTAAAAAAAAAAAAAAAGAATTAGTATATACAGAGTGACTGGTACTTTGAGTGCATACTGAAAGATGCACCTTTTCTTTTCTCGACACATTCCTATATTGCTTAAGTCAATGAACTGACACAGAATGACCCACGAAACTAAAGAAGTATGACTTGGGATCCTTAATGAACACTTGATAAATCTATACTTCAAAAAGTTCACAAGTAAGGAGAAAAACAAAAATTTAACTATTTTTACCTGGAGCCTCTTGGGTTCTCCTGACGACAGTTTTCTTTGAGACTGTCTGGCTTGTAACAGTTTGGTAAGATGTTTCGTCTTCTAAAAGAACAGATGACTAAAGTTAAAATTCTGGGTAAAGGAACCTCAGAGACCATTACAGATTATGACTATTTAACAGCAATACATAAGCAGAGAATGCAGGTATTTGTGTATATTTAGGAATGTGAAATCAAGTTTACCAAAACTTTGGAATTAAACTAGTCAGAACTCCTCTAAAGACAGAGAATAACTAATTCATCAAATATATCAACTATTCACGACACCACTGATGTTTTTGAACCAAAATATATTACTTTAGAAAATTTAAATGATGGGCTTGAGTGCAAAAAAAAAAAAATGATGTGGGAGAAAGTAAATGGAAGAGTGATAAATGTTTAAATCCTTACAGATTTGCTAAAATAGAGGCAAATTCCTTAAAAGACAAAAGTTAGCCTAGGTAAGGTACTAGGTGGGAGTCAATACAATATAACATATATTTACATTGCTTCCCAGGTGCAAAAGCATTTTTCCATGTACTGAAAGATACAGAAATTAACACAAGCCTTTAAGTAATCTCATTATCAGTACACATGATAGGATCCTTGTCTTCAAGAAGTTTGTCATCTTAAACACACACACTAAACTATCTGGTTATACCCAAAAGTAACTTACATATCTTTATGTAACAAAGTTTCCAAAATCAACAAGATTTCAAATGTGTCAGCACTGTCATCAGGTCAACTTGCAGCATACTTACTATCATGCTCTGATTTAAAATTCACTCCTCTTTATATGCATCAATGGTCTACATTAACTATGTCATTTCATTGTGACTCAAATCCCCTGACTTTTACCTCTTGGTTTGGTGCTTTACATGAGATTTCATCTGTAACTCAAGTGTTAGATCTGGAGGAGAGGGGACAGGGTGTTTTAAGGAATGTGATTCACCTGTGACTTACCAAAAACTATCATACAGTCACTGTCAGCATTTTGGTCCATTTGGACAAAAACTTCCTAATTAACTGACCATCTCGTTTTGTTGGGCTACTTTGTCAGCCTTGTCAGGCTACTTGATGTTACAGTTAGGGTCCTCAACGTGGGAAGATTTTTGGTAGAGACCACACTTGAGAAAGGATCAGCTGAAGGACATCAGACATCGGGGAGCCTCAGTTGAGGATAACTGAGTCACCCCATTTCCGCATAAGTATTTGGAATAAAGTCTCAACTCACTAACTCTGCTATCCCTCGAAACCTCACAAAATTTCTCCCCACCAGAACGGGGCTGGGAAAGACAGGAAGGTTAGAGTAGAACCACGCTCCTCAGCGGGGGACTCCGGGCCTCCAAGGGTTAAAAGAGGAAAATGGAAGTGGTTTAGGGAGAAACATCTGCAGAGGACACGGAAATGAAACCGAACCCTGAGTAATCCGGTGTTAGACTACCGCCTACCTCGTTGTCCCCTCTAGAAAGCCTGGAGAAACAGGCGACCCCCAAACTGATGCCCAGGGATGGGCAAGGCTCCCCGTCCGCCAGGTCTTTGGCACCACCATCTCTCCGCACCGAGGCCAGTCCCTCCTCGCCTGCGGGTCGACGCGGACCCCGCATGGGGGCGCACAGCGGCGGGGTCCGAGGGGCCCCCGTCACCCTCGCGAGGACGAGCCGCACGAAGGCGCGCGCCACGCCGCGTGCGCCCTCCTGCCCGCCCGCTCCCTGGCTGAAGGCTGAGACTGTTATCTCCGCTCCCCTCACCTTCAGAGGACTGCGAGTCCCGTAAGCCTCTCCTGGCCGTAACCGGAGACGGCGGTAGAGGAGGCTGTGGTGAATGCTGCTGCAGAAGGCGGGTAGCCCTTCGCGTCTTCATCTCCTCGGCTTCCTGGAGTCGCGGCTGCCTCCGCTGCCGAGACCGAAGGTAGTAGGCGCTTTCTCTCACTTCTTCTTTCGCAGAATCCGGCCGGAACTCTTCTGGTGAGGTTCGTTTTCCCACCGGGGACTTTTCTTTGGCCACCCGGGGCTCGAAGTCGCCGTATACTTCTGGCGGTTCCTCTGAGAACCTCACTTCCCGCCGGCCCTGGCGCGACGGAGAAGTTCCGTACGCAGGCGCGTCACTGCCGCTGCCATTTTGAGGGGCGAGCCGGTGCCTTCCCTCGCGAAGGGGGGCTCGGGGCGTGACGTACAGGGCCCAGCCTTCTCCCGCCGGCTCCGCCCGCCGCCCCTCACGCGCCATAGTTGTTGACGTAGCTTTAGTAGATCGCGAAGATGGCCTTGAGACCCCTAGATCCTCCTGCCAGGGTTGGCAGCGGCTTCTCGGGGGTGTTGGGCGGTGGTCACAATGGTCAGGGAGGCAGTTGAGAGTCGCCGGGGTCGTCACCCGCGTCGTCGCTGCKGTGCCGCAAACCCGCCTCTGGGCCCATGGTGTGTCCTGAGGGCTGTGGGAGAGGCAGTGCCCGGGCTGGGTCAGCTGCTGTGTGGGTCACTCCCGCCTCCTGGCTGGAGGCACCAAAGAGGAGGAGAGGGGGAGGAGGACGTCGTTGTCCTGGCCTTGGGGGAGGGGAAGGTGGGGTGCCTGAAGGGTGGCGGGGCAAAGTGCTCGTGCTAAATCGGGCGGCTCCTGACAACTGTTGCCCGCACTCAGCATACGCCTGCCAGGCCCGCGTACCGAGTCTCTGGGAGAGGACAGGCGAGGGTGGAGGAGCCCGAGGCCAGTCCTTGCGCCAGGCTGTTGCGCAGTTTCTTCGGCATCTTTTGGATGGACTGCTGTCTTAGAGCCTTACGTTCCCAAGTGTCCCCAGCAGGAGTGATGATCAGATATTTTTGCATGTGTCGTCTTTAATAACGAGAATTGTTTCAAGTCGCTTATGAAGGCGGCTACCCAGTTTTAAAATTTAAATCACCTGTTGAGGGTGTACAAAGTCTTATCTAGAGTCATACTCATTGGACAGATTTGCATTTGCGAAACATACCAATAGCAAGCAGCCTTATTATTCCTGGTCTTTCACATAAAGGTTCTATTCTGCAGTGAGAATTGAATAGTGTGATTAAAGACTGCACTGTAATTTTAAGTTGAAATTCATTATTTTTAGATTCTGGGCATGACGATTTTCCTGCTTTGGATTTAAGGTTCTTCGCGTTTAATTTACAGAATAAGAAAGCATGATGAAAGTTATTTGTGGGCTGGGGATGTGGCTCAGAGGTAGAGCGCACGCCTAGCATGCGTGAGGCACTGAGTTCTATCCTCAGCACCACATAAAGTAAAATAAAGACATTGTGCCCACCTGTAACTAAAAATTAAATATTAAAAAATTAAAAAATTATTTGTTTCAGCTCCATATTTTTACAGATGTGGATAATCTGCAAATATCTAACCAAAATTAAAATGATGGAAGATAGATTAATTTGGTATAAAGTCTGAATTAGTATTGAAATAAAGCTTAATGTTGCAATACATAAACTATGCAACTTCTTGGAAGACTTTCTATGATTTATTTATTTATTTATTTTTTAAAGACAGAGTGAGAGAGGAGAGAAAGAGATAGAGAGAGAGAATTTTTAATAWTTATTTTTTAGTTCTCGGCGGACACAACATCTTTGTTGGTATGTGGTGCTGAGGATCGAACCCGGGCCGCACGCATGCCAGGCGAGCGCGCTACCACTTGAGCCACATCCCCAGCCCCTATGATTGATTTAAATGGATAGGTTTAAATTGAGATTTGGAGCCGGGCTTGGTTCAAAGACAGCCTCTGCAACAGCGAGGTGCTAARCAACTCTGTGAGACCCTGTCTCTGAATAAAATACAAAATAGGGCTGGGGTTGTGGTTTAGTGGCAGAGTGCCCCTGAGTTCAATTCCCTGGTACCAAAAAAGGGGGGGGGGGCTGGAGATGTATGTTGGTGGGTAAAGCTCCCCTGGGTTCAATCCCCAGTACCTAAATAAATTGAGATTTGGATACCAATTAATTACAACGATTCCAAAAATTTTGAAGACATTTGTTTACCTTATCAAGTATTTAAAATAATCACTTTATAGTGTGTGAGCACTTCATTTGTTGCTCAAACTTGCACAAATTTCTGTTACTTATGTTTTCTAATATTCCACAAATTTGTCCAAAGAGACAAGGAATGACAGAAATTAGGTAGGTTTCAGCAGTTAAGAGTTTAGCTTTAACATAACCAAAAGAATATTTAATATAACCAAAGAAACTGGAGTACTATTAACAAGACTTTTTTAAAAAAAGTTGTTGAAAATGAAAAGGATACTTCTTGTTGTTAATCTGGAAAATTTGAGATATATTCTACCAAATGATACTTGGTAATATCTGACTTTTATTTAAGTAATTCTTTCTCAGCATGGTGGCTTTTACATTACTCATTATTGACACATAATAGTAAAAATTATTTAATAGACATGCAGTAAGTATTAGAGAATACAACTTTTATAATATTAATATACTAAGCTCATTATGAACATATGTTAAGAGCATATGTTAAAAGCCTCTTTAAAACATTTACTGGGACAGGTGATTATATAGGAACTTGGATATTGGCTTATGAAACTTTTGGTTTGGGGGAACATATTAAAAAGACAAGAGGTTCTACATGTATTGAACCTCAGAGATGGGAAGTTTTACAAGTTATTAAATAATTAGTGTATGTGTTATAATTAAAACTGCTTATAAAAGGCTTAGACTTTTTAAAAAAATAAATGAGAATGTTAAGACAATGAGAAGCATGGTAACTTTAGTATTAACACACATATTTGCTTAGGATTTTCCCTGTTTTGTTTAGGCTATAAGAACACATGATCCTAGTTCTAAATAACTGCCTCCCACACCTAGCAACCTTATAAATACCAAACTTTCATTACTAATTGAGTTAAAGGAAGTCTTGTAAAACCAGATATTCTACTGTAGATGTTTTCCAAACTACAGACTACATAAGGTTGCCCCAAATGAAATTAGAAACAGTAGACTTATAGCCAATGTTGTAAGAGATTTGATGGCCCACCAGTTCCAAGGGGAGACTTGAGCTCTAGATGTTAAATAAGTAACTGGGAATTTTAGAAATATGGAGGAATTCATATTCTCAGAAGAAAGAAATGTTTTAACTGTTGAGCCGGGGTTGTATCTCTGTGGCAGAGCACCTGCCTAGCACATGTGAGGCACTGGGTTCAATCCTTAGTCCCACATTAAAAAAAA